CCCCCCCCCCGGCAAACAAACACCCCTCCTCGACCCATCCAGCCTTCTGCGAGTCCATCAGCCTGCCGCACCCGCGGTCGATGTTCTTCCCCTCCACCGACTCGGGATCCCTCTCGCGTGGATCCTGTGCCCCGGGTCTCACTGGTCAGCCGGAGCTCTTCTGCAACGAGAGCGGTCAATGGGACTGGAGCAAGCTCAAGGGGTCTTGTGAGTTCCGTACGTGCCTCCTCCTCCCCCCCCCCTCTTTTCCCGCCACACCGCTGTTGTCACTGTGTGTTCTTTTTTCTATGTTGCACCTTCAACTGACATGCCTCCTCACCCCCCCCCCCTCCCCGCCCATGGTAGTGACTGGCGAGGGTGAGTTTATCAAGAATGTCAAACTCACCTCCATGGGTGGCTCCTCGCTGGCTCTCTCGTGGAATGTGCCCGAGTCGCACGATCCCTCGTCCCCGACGCCGAACCTCTTCCTGGTGCAAATCTCCTCGGTGGAGGATCGAACCTTCACCGATGCTCGGATCACCTGTGCGCCAGTGCCTTTGTGCCGCTTTCCCCGGACTTGTGGCCATCTGTTCGCTGACACCATGCCGACCTCTGCCCCCCTGCCCCTCTCTCTCTCTCTCTCTCCCTCTCTCTCTCTCTCTCTCTCTCTCTCTCTCGCTTTCTCTCCTTCTCTCTCTCTCCCTCCACTTGCCTCTCTGCTCCTTGCAGATGAGCACAGCGCTGTCCTCACGGATCTATCACCACTCAGCCCGTATCGGATCCGGATCCTGCCCGCGCCATTGACCCTCTCGGCCAAGATGCTCGCCGAGCCCGAGGAACAGCTGTACATGCCGTCCAATGCCGTGGAGCAGGCGGCTCAGTACTACGTCCGGACGGCGGCCGAGCCGCTGAACCGCTTCCAGCCCGGCAGTCAGGTGCTGGATCTGCTCGCGCCGCGCCTGGGCATGGCCAAGTCCGGGCGGCTGGGTCTTCCAGCGCGTGAGATTGCTGGTCGTGCCGGCAAGGACAGCAAGGATGTCATGCTGGGCCCCAGCTGTGACGATGCGCCGCTCATCGATGGCGACCTGACCGGCATCTCGATTCTTCTGCGCCTCGGGTCTTCGCCCACCCCGCAGGCCAGCTTCGTGCGGGTGGTCATCCGTCAACAGTCGGCTCCTCAGCTGCCATACTCCTTCCCGGCCATCGCCCCGCCGGCGGACCATGCGCCCGGCCCCGTCCAGACCGCTGCGACGCGCATCACTGCCCCCCGGGCCGAGGCTCTGGAGTCGGTCTTGCCCGATGGCCAGGCGGCCATCCTGTCCACCGACCGAGTGACCGCTGATGGGGAGCTCCTGCTGGACTTCGATCCGGCTGCGGCCGACGGCTTCGCCGAGTACATGATCATCACGGAGAGCAGTGCGTGCCTCGGGCGAGCCTCCCCCCTCCCCCCC